TTCTTGGGGAGGTGTGCTATAGTTCCTCTACCCGAACCACGGTTAGGCCCCTTGCTTGAAGCATTCATGTCAGACTCAAGGGCTGATGTACAACAGCCCACGTCAAAGTCCGTCTCTAGCTCGTCATCTAGAGACAGATCATCCGCATAGGACTGATCCTCAACCTCCCGATGTTCATGCAGGGCAAGCTGGTTGCTGCTTCTGTAGCGCTTGCATCGTGAGGTTCTACCTACAACGGGTGTCTTTGCACGTCTGGCGAGGTCCTTGGCTTCTAGGTTGACTAGATCCGTCAGTAGCTCACGCCAGGTCGTATGGTCCTTGAGTCCTAGCCGGGAGACATAGTCTTCAAGGGCCACTCCCATTACTACATCCATGCAAGACACATCAGTCCATCCCAGGTTTGGAGTGGTGAACAAACTCCCATTACTACATCCATGCAAGACACGTCAGTCCATCCCAGGTTTCGAATGGTGAACAGATCAGTCAAGTGCTGCTCCAAAGCCTGCGTGGAAGTCCTCCACTTTTGGCCCTTGAGGGCCTCAAGCTTAAGTCTTGCCTTGAGCGCAACGTGCTTATCTTGATACTGCGCGATGAGGAGGTCCTCAAGAGTACGTACAGGAGTTACTTTCAGCCACTTAGAGGTCAATCCTATCATAACCTGTAGTAACAGCTTGGAGTTCTATGAAACTCGTACGGCGGGCTCAATATTTGTGCCCATGATCATGCTTCGGTCTTCCTGTGGTGTCTGCAGTACCTCGAAGTATGAGCGCATGGAGCTGATCCAAGAGGTGATGTCCCCCTTCCCTTCGTACTTGGACGGCAGTGTGGCCGCCTTTTTGTCCACTATGGGACCGTTGTATTGTACGCCAGTAAGAACCGCGACGTTTTGGGTTGATGTTCCTGCATTTGGGACTGGGACCAGTGCAGAACCGCCGGCGCTGCCGCTTGAGGAGCTGGCACCAGTTCCTGCGCTCGTCACAATTCCACTTGCTCTCTGCATGAGGACTGTGTTAGAGTGAGAGATTGGGACTGCAGCAGGTCGAGGACTAGGAGGACGGGGGGCAGCCAGTTGGGACTGTTTGAGGCTGACTATCTCAGCCTGCAGCTCTTGGTGCCGCTGCTCTAGAGCTGTCACACGGGGCTCAAGATCTTCCAAGGTCCGCAGTTGAACCAAGGCTGCTACGGCAGCAGCTAGCTTCTCTCGAAACCGGTCATCACTAGATTTCGGAACCTCGAGGAGGGCCACTTGTGTAGCAATACTTGTGGCTTTGGCTGCTGCCTCTGCCTCCATCTCTCTGTGCATTGTGTCCTCATAAAGTTTCTGAAAGAAAGGTTTCTAGCTCTCGGCCGCCGCATCCAGCATGGCCTTCCATTGCGCGGATATGATGTCTGCCATGCTGGAGGATGGGGTGTCAATAGATCTCTCAAGAGGGGTCCGCACTTTGCTCACATTTGGACGAACACTTCTCTTATCCCTCCTTACACTCTCAAAAAGAATACCTTCACTCTCCCTTCTCTCTCTTTCCGCTTTCTGTGCACGCGTCTCAATTTTGGACATAGGTAGTTCAGATAAACGAAAAACAGATAAATCACAAAGAGCAGAAGGTAGAACTCCTAGCCGGAGCGGCAATTCATTTGGACTTAGAGAATGGCATTCACAGAGCAGAAAAAAAAATAAAAATTAAAAAAAAAAAAAAAAACAAACAAAAGAGAGGACTGACTTGACGAACGGGTACCACAATAAGTCAGTCAAAGAAAACTAACTGCAGCAATGGAGATTTCGAGGGGTGCAGACGGTCGTCGAGCCAGACGCGGGGCAGTATGTGAGAACATGCAGTAAGACGAGTCAAGATCCCCTTGAAAGGAATGTCCTTACTAGCCGTGTGTCCCTCCAAATTCAGCACGGCAAAGAAATGCGTTGACGGCAACAGATTTGGGTCGTAAAGGCCCTGTCCCATTGGGCCTGGTCCCACTGAGTCCCGAAGGGTCCCAAGTAGGTCGTGGACCAGGACCAACGAGATAGGTGTGCCAAGTCAGTCCCAAACTGCCTCTACCGTACTGAAAAGGAAATGACAACTTTCAACAAGAACTTACCCCTACAGCCGTTCAGAAGTGAAAAGACAAGGCACCGTAGAAAGATATGTCATTGAGAACAAGATACATCATCCATCCATCCGTCAGGTGAGAAAGCAATCCACAGGATCACACACACAACCAAGACCGCAGAGAAGAGGAAGAGAGCCCAGCACACCCCAACAAGCCATGAAGCACCAAGCAACCTCCCACGGGCATACCCAGGTCACACGGCACTTACCTGTGAGGCCCGGCCTCCAAAGATGGATAATGACTCACCCCCCTCTCTCATAGGTCCTCCTGACCCCTAGCTACCACTACACGAAGTGTCCTAGCATGACTAAGAGGGCCTCCCTACACCCCTGTTACAACGCCGGATCCTCCACCGATGTCTGAAGACCAAAGTAGCAACTTGCAGCTATTCGATGCAGATATGGCAGCCTCCGATCAAGTCTCCCTCTTGAGGGGAAGCCCAAAAGTCACTCAATGTCTTCTTGAAGTGCAGATTCCAGGTTCGAGTACGTCTCACTCTCTACTCCCTCTCGCTTACTCCAATTAGCCTCCTTTGTGTCTCGCCACCCCATTCAATCACACAATCAACCTGGTCAGGTCGGATGTCGACCCTACACGACCCAGTTGGGGGCAGCTGCCACATACCTCACTGCCCCTCTTAACCCTAACTTCCCAACCCTAATCCGAGATTAGGTTAGCCCTAACCTAATTCGGAATTAGGTTTAGGGTGACTAACACCTCTCGCCAGCAAGAAAGTCCGCTCCGATACCAATTGTTACGATCCTGGTCATTCCCAAAGTGCAAATTCACAATAAAAGACAATGCCACCCAATTGCGAAAGAAATGAAAGCACTTGCAGAGAGAAAGAAGAAGAAGAAGAAGACGAAGAAAAAGAAGAAAAAGATGAAGAAGATGTACACCAGGAAGACCAATGACAAATCCCCCTTCTCTCTCCACCTTCCTCCTCCTCCTCCTCCACTTCGCCAATCTTATTCTTCTTCCAATAATAATAATAACAATGAGTGGATGAACCAGAATCAATGTCCAAAGTTCCCTCTTACTGCTGACATCACAATAGGTCCACCGTAGCTATGGCTTCCCCCCTTCTTCCACCTCTCGCATGCCTAGGCTATGGCAGACTACTAAGGGCTCTGCCCTCCTGTGCAAAGGACAACGCAAAGCAGCTATGTCGCTGCACTCCTGTCCAAAGGACAACCCATAGCAGCTATGTCGCTGCTGACTAAGCCGCCATGCCTGGCTCTGCCTCGAGCTTCCTTGGTGCGGCACTACCCCAACTGGGGCCTTCCAGATGCAGCGCCCAACAAGGTGATGAAGATGGTGTCCACCATAGCCAGGTAGGTA